TAATGTATCATTGGCACGGTCTGACCTCCTGTTCAGGACACCTTCACTAAGACGACCAACAGTTAATCGCAGTGCTACTGTACAAACAAGTGACAGACTGACAGACAGACAGGTGAAAGTGGTCGTGGTGACAGACAGCCTCACAAGCCGAGGGGGATGAGATGACAATTACAAAGGCCAGTGAGCACAAGAATCTACGCGTATAAAAAAGAAAAGTCTAAATGCTGATAGACACAAACAAAAATAGCACAGAAAATCATGCACATGGATATTCATGGACCAGAGTGAAGGTTAGGAGAAGCATTGTTGACCGATCACGTCTCTGTTTTTATTGGCCACCCCCCACACATGACTCCTTTTTGCAGACTAATGTTGTCCATCAAAGTTTCTACAGTATCATGTCGTATTTCATTATGGGCCTTTACCCAAAAATAGACACATTATCAGCAGTGGCTCAAATGGCATCATGTTACCTAACAAATTGTTGCTGTGTGAATGCATATCAAGTATCTGCTGGAAATCAGGCTCTAGTGGTGTGACCCTCACCACATGCATACACACACATGCATACCCACAAACACACTTGCCAAAGAACTCCACCTGCTCTCTCCAGTCCTTTCCAACCATTCTCCTTGAAGCCAATTCGGACCAAATCCTGCTCCTGTGTTGGCTGTGCTCTACTGCAGACAGTGAAAAGGAAGATGGGGTTTTTGTTCTGCCGCCCAGAAAGGCTTCAGGATCTGATGCGGAAACCTCGGACGGGGAATAGGGTGGAACAGAGGAATACAGTCAGGGAATAGGGTGGCCACACACACACTCTCTCTCACAGATGTACAGTATAATCTGCAGGAAGGTAAATATGGTCACAGTACCCTGTGGGATCCAGGACATAGAGGATTTGCCTATACAGGGGAGGAGAGGGTGAAATGCAGGGAAAAGAGAGAAAATGAGAGGTTCAGTGTTTGTGAATAAGAATGAGATCATGACAGAGTGTATGTGTGTGTGGTCAAAGTGTCTGTGTGCATGTCTGAGTGTGTATAAGAGAGAGAGCAAGAGAGAGAGAGAGAGGAGAGAGAGAGAGGAGAGAGAGAGAGAGAGCAGTATTGGCTGCAGTCTGACTTTGACCCACGCAGGCTGCCAGTAAGCAGGCAGCTGACAGCCTGGCCAGTTTCCATGCGAACCCAACGCCTCGGCAACGTGCAGCCTGCCTCGTACACAGCAGCGTCGTGGAAACAGTTACCAGGCACTTCTTTTACTGAGTCAACAGCAGCCACTGGTGGACAAATCCAGACATTCATTCATAAAAATCACCACCACAGAAGTATTTCTCATGAAGTTTAGTGGTTACACACATCAAAATCTGGAGGTATAAAATGCTAGATGATGAAAATATTTTGCAGTGATGTCATGTAAGGTTTAATCGTTGACAAGACATAGATGAATCAGTAACCAGATACTTGCACTTACTTAATCGCAGACATAAGACATTTTTCCTTTCCTTGGTTATACATCTCTTGCTAATACACCAGCAGATATTCACACATGCTCACTACAGCTGAAATAACAGCATCTCCATACAGCCAGCAGGACATCCTCTGCTGTAATAGCTTATAGGGCAGAAGAGGACAGAACAACCTCTACAAGGCATCCAGAGTCAAAACCCAAATCAATTGAATGCCCCAGTACATTTGGATTGAAGGAGAGAGCAGATCAGACAATGAATCTGCAACAAGCACACTGTCCTTTATTTCATGGGTCACAGAGTCCAGCAGAAGAAATGTAAGCTATCATGGCCAGAGGAGGAGGTGTCTGGTCTTTGCCTAATGCATGAGCGAGTAAAAGGAGGAGGGAATAGACGTCAAAGCTTCACTAAGAGAGGCAAGAGGAGGACTTTCCATGTTTGCATAAAATAAAACCAGAGTGTCCAGTCTAGACCGCTGCTGGAAATCTCCACAGACAGAAAATGATGAATCAGTGCTTAGTTCAAGTACAAACTGACTTCTAAATAGTAATGTCGTAGGAAGCGGGATGGCCCGTGCTGTCTGTCTCATCTGCTCATATGTCAAAACGGAACAGCTGTTTCACAAAGCACAGTGGCATACCATCAGTTCTGCCGTACAAAGCCTAAGGCACACAAACTACATGGACCAGAATGTTTGACTTTTTGACATTTGTTTTACCATATAACTGTATTAAAAAAAAACTGCATATAAATTTTGCAAGAACTAGAGTACAGAGTTAAAATAGAGCTGCTAACTGCACTCTGGCTACAACGCTAGCTAGTGAGCTAGCCTTAGCTAAAGTTAATTACGGTTCCCTGTAACTGAAAAAGTCTATTTCGATGCTTCACTATCTTAATAATTGCAAGTTTGTTATACCACACAAATAGGGGAATTGATAAATGATCAGCCTAAAAAGGCATAACATGAACATATTACACCTTACACCTGTGTATCTGTTACACAGTTTGGTGAAAAGCCTTCAAACTTCAAACCCTTTTTTCACAACTTTACCGTCTTTGTAGTCAACCGCTCCATTGCCCAATGTTTACTTTACATATCTAGTAATAAAGGAGAGCATATATGAGCATGTTTTATGGTATTTGAATAAAGGTTTGAACAGTTACAGTGGTCAAACTGGGTGTAGACAATACAGTGAATACAGGCAGATGAATAACTATGATTAAGTTTAACACCTTGACTCCACTGGATCAGACCTTCAGATGGTGATGTCACGAGTCAGCAACCAGCTATGCAGACAGGAGGGAGTGATGATATCACCAGGATGAGCTAAAGCGCACAGCACCAGTATTTGTGTATGTATCTGTGCATGCAAAAAAATTGTGCTCACAGACTTGTTTGTCTACAAAACTGCAGTTTTTATGACAATGCACAAACAGGAATGGAAATGTTACACAAATTAGGCGCAGCTCAATTAGTTTTCTTTTTCTGTAGCAGCACCTTAGAGGTTTTTTGGCCTCCTTTGAGACCATGCATATAGTCTGACCTATATGCAAAGCCCTGTGTGCATCCTGTCCACCCCAGTGCAGCTGTGAGTGTTCGATCCCCCCTTCATCTGGTTCGGATTTTAGAGGCGCGAGGCAGGCAGTGTGACTACCAGCATGACAACAACGTATGTGTTGGTCGAAGGAGGGGGGGCTCAACAGAACTGAATCAGCAGTGTCGGTTTTGTGGGGGGGTGGGGGGGCACAAAGACAAGAGTGGCAACTGCGCCTCTCTGCAGCTGTGGGCCTACGTGAGCATCGGCAGGAACGCTCTCGCTCCTCGTCTCACCCCCTCCCTTACTGGTTCCCTCACTCTCTCTCATCTCTCCCATTCCCCCCTCCTTTGCTCATTTGCACCTTCTAATAGACTTTTGACGGTGCACCCTTCCTCCTTTGCCGAAATCCTTCTTGCACTGCTGTCTTTTGTTCTCTATCATAACTCCCTCACTTCTCTCCCACATCATGTTCCCAAATGGCGAGGGACCTTGACAGTGAGGGATGTGTCGTGTACAGAGAGCCAACGGATATCTGAGACAACTAAAAGGAAAAAAAGGGAAGGAAAAGATCCTTTCCCCCCCCACACACACACACACACACACACACACACACACACTCACAGACATACACACACAGCTGATCTGGCCTGAAATGACCTAGAAGGGATTTGAGTGTGTGTGTGTCTCACCCAAAGCAAAGTTTTACCATGTCATATGTACGCACATGCAGTCGCATGCATGCCAATGCACACTCATGTGACTACTCCAGTATCTTGAGACTGTGTGCAAACACAAGACTTTGAGGTCAAGGTCAGAGGTGATACTATGCGCAATATTTAGGAGGAGGAGGAAGAATGAAGGGAGGAATGAAGATGAGGAGGCAGAATGAATACAATGAAGAATTAATGGATGATGGATAAAGGAGCAGGGAGGAACAAAAGACAAAATATTGTATAATAGGGTTTATACATTGTTGTACATGTGTACAAAATAGGAGAAGGTGACGTCAGAGGAGAGCAAATCATAACAGGGAGATAAAGGACCGAGCGAATGGGCTGACTGTCCTTGTGTTGTACAGCAGGTGCATTTTTTGGCAGCAGATATGACTGGAAGGCCTGTGTTGCCACGTCTATACACTCTAAAGAGCAGTGCTGACCTCTACTGGCTCAATACGGTTTCCCTCTCTGTCTTTATTTTTCTGATCTTTATTTAAACTAATCTTTGAATTAGGTTTCTTCTAATTGTGTTTACAAAATCTGTATGTATATTCATCTGCAAAATACATAATCATCTAATCCTCAAAAGGCATCGTGCCTGACAAGCTGTTGTCTGTTTGTTAGTGATTGTAAGCCACTGTCATAAATCAAAGCTGTTTATTTCAAGTCATTAATGAAAAATTCCACATAATTCTAGACAAATGTGCACATGAATTTAGTACACAAACTAAAGACTAAAGCAGTATTTGGAAATGATAATAGTATTGTAATTCCCCCAAACAGCAAAGCCACAACTTTAAACCACCATGCCTTGATTCTTAGCAACTGGGAAGTGAAAGTTCAAAGTAAATAACAGCCTAGTACGATTTTAGCAGTATATGGAAATTTATCAGAAGCTGAAGTGAAACCATGTAGATCACATCCTAATAAAGTGACAGCACTCCACTGCTGAGAGTGCAGTACATTTACATGTTTATGGGACCTGCATAAAGTACACTCAACAGGATCCTTCAGTGTTACTGGTGCTTTATTGTCAGGTTTTTGGGTTAAGGCCACTCCAGTAAAATGTCTAATTGTCCATAATAGTGTGCGTAAGAGTGAATAGAGTGCTAAAGTAGCATGTAGTCACTGATAGGTGAAGGTCTGAAAGTCCCTGCAAGAGCAGCGCTGTGCTGCTCTGTTACAATTCTTTAAAAGGTCTGATGAAGTAATGCAAGATGCCCCAGTGACTAATGAGAACTGCACCTAAATGCTTCAAAATGTATTGAAACAAACAGCTTTTTGATTGAAACGTATTTTATTCAATGAATACATTTACAGAATTTCTTACAAAAACCATTTTCATTTCTTAAACATAGTCATGAAAATTTTCCTGAGCAGTGCAACATCTGGATCTTGACAGAATAAAACAATTATCCTTGAAATAAAGCAAAATTTAAATGTAAACATCGTTCTGAAAAGCTTGCATGGCAGTGGCCTTCGTCATCCTACTCTGTGAAGTAACCCTTTTATTTGATCAGTGCTGATGCTGCAGGTGCAAAATTTCCAGGATCACAGATAATTTCAGATTACTGACATATCTGGATGCTCACAGTGATTTCATTACTTAGAAAAGATAGTGCCATGCTCTTATGACAACCTGTCTTCGTCATTGGCACTTTTGGCTAATAGTAGCAGTCCTTTGAGCACTAGACGATGAACATGTGAGGTCTCATCAGTTAACACAGGAGCCACTGCGCTGAGGCTGAAACTGTGATTTGATTGTTAGACAATGAAGTTAAGACAGTGAGCGGTCACAGAAAGACACGAGGAATGGTGTTTTCAGCATCATCATTGCGGGCAGATCCCCGGAGTTTGCCACCGTTGTAGAACTGGTGGAGGTTCAGTTTGGCAGGTGGAGAGACATACCACATGACCACACCTGTGGGGTTCACTGACACCACAAAGTCAGTGGAGTCTTTCAGCATCGTGGTCTTGCCAGTGAACACATCAAAGATCTGAGGAAGAGTAGAAAGAAAACAGAAGGATGAAGTGAGTGATTCTCCTGCTATATTCATGTATTTAGTTAAAACTACAAAATCCAGACAGGTATTATTAATCATGTGTGTCGAGTGGAGCAATGCTGTTGTAAATTTGCAACAAATTAATTCAATTTAATTTTACAACAGAGTCATAAAAACATCAGATAATAAAGTTTTAAGATCTTCAGGAGTAATGAACAAATCTAGGTTGAGGACAGTATTAGAATGAATCCTATTCAAAAGGTGCACAACACCAGAAATGTGTTCTGCCAAGAAGACCGCCAGACTTCTTCTTCTAGACAGACATTTTTTCATCTGAATTTTGAATGACATGCTGTGAATGCCGTCAGGCCAAATTCCTAAGTAATTGTATGACTCAGGAAGAGGGATATGTGTACCATTTAATGGCAGTTTAAGTTTTTATGTATAGCAGAATAGTCAGTGACACTGGTGGAAGTGAAAAGCTCCACATACTTGGTCTTATCTGCATTAGAAAAAGTCTATGATTAAGAAGTGATAACTGGAAATCATCAAAGAAAGACTGAAGATAAGTCTGGGTTGTGGTGTATAGCTAGCGTGTATAAAACTGTATCATCTGCTTAAAAATGTATGTTGAATTGATGATTAGGAAGAATACTCTTATTTATGTGTAATGTAAATATTAATGGATCAAGGATAGACAGCTGTGGCCAAAACCATCAGCAACAACTGACGTCGTGTGACTGTCTAGAAGACTTTAAAGACATACCTTGTAGCTGCCGGTGGTGTAGTTGAGTTTACTCAGGGAAGTCTGGTAGCGGTAGGGCATGTCATTACGACGACTGAAGAACAACAAGGCACTAGCATTGCTTGACAGGGGGCGCCAGAACACCTCAATGCCACTCTTCTCCTGGCAGAAAGAAATTGATGAAAACGTGAATAAATGACAGTAAGAATAAGACATGAAAGAATAAAACTGAGGATAGAGAGGAGTCAAAACTCTCCTCATGTAATTTCCATTTTAAATTTTAATTAAAATTTTTTTTTTCATCTTGCAAGAAGCTTTAAGATCCATGCAAATGGTGTCACCTTAACAATTCGTCTTCCCTGAACGCCCATCGGGTCCTGGTTGATGCTGATGGCCATTTTGTTCTGCAGGATGCTGCGGGCCCCACTGCTGATGGTGCGCAGGTCATTGGACATGAAAAGAGGAGCGGCCATAATTGCCCACAGAGCCATCTGAGCACGGGACTGGTCCATGCTGAGGCCAAAGTCACCAATTATCAGCTGTGGAAATCCAAAACAGACAACTGAGGAAGATGACATGAAAAAGTAGAATTTTGGAGTTTTTCTTTAACTTTTCTTTAACTTTACGATTGGTGGTTCTAACCCTTACCAACAGTCTATATAGTAAACAGCAAATACAGGAATGTGTTGTCAGTTATTATGTCAGTTAACCAGACCATATCAGGGTCGTTCCATCTTCCAGGGCCGGCTACAGGTATCAGAACATCCTGATTTTCAAAGAACCAGTCAATAATGTTCAGGACACTGTCCCAAGAGTCCTGGATGTCGCCATAGTTACGCCACAGGTTGCAGATCTCACCCAACTGAGTGTAGTTTACCTGTAAACATAAATCAGTATTACAATGTCAAAAAATTTAAATGTAAGTAATACATTAATAATCCTCAAAACAGAGTCTAGTTCCGCTGGGGGGGGAAATGTTTTCGTTGAAGACATCCTGATTATACCTTCGGTGGCAGGCCACCCTGGTAGGCGGGCCAGCTGCAGGAGTAGCCAATGGGACGGCCTGTAGCGTTTAAAGCCTTTGACATGAGAGGGTAACCTGTCCAAGAGAGGGACGAGTATCAGTCAAGATCAAATCAGAAACATCGGGATAAAAACAACGTAAAAGTCCTGTCAGCTCTTACCCTGCTCCTGCTCAGTGGCATTAGAATAACAGCCATCAAATTTAAACATATCCACCTCCCAGTCAGCAAAGGTCTGAGCATCTATCTTGATCTTGTCCAGTGGGGTGCCAGGGTAGCCCCCACAGGTGTGTGTGCCCATGTCCCCGTAGATCCCCAGCTTGAGACCCCTGTCGTGCATGTAGCGTGCCAACTTGTGGATGCCTCCCGGGAATCTGGGTTAAGTGTGATAAAGGAAAGTGTTACGATGTTATACCGAAGTGCACAAAAACATTGACAGATGAAACAATTGTGTCATTCAATAGAAGGTTTTCATCTCAACCTATAAAGCACTACTTTTGTTTTATGTAAATTATAGTAGGCAGCAGAGAAACCACTCTAAATGTTTCATTCATGTCTCTTTCATTAAGTTGAATATTATCAAAGACTGAGAAGACATACGTTTAATTAAATCACAGCACAGCCCCAGGCACTGTAATAAAATCTTATGTTGCCAATAGTTACACCTCTACTAATACATACGTATATCCACTCAGACAGGGAAGTTCTGCCTCATAAAAGCCAACAGTTGTTTTTCTATGAGAATAACTATAGCTTGATTTTTTTATATGACTTGATTCGTTCATCGCCTGTTGTAATATCCACCTGTCAGGGAAGTCAAAGGCAATTGTTTTTATTACACTTATGCTGATTCTGCATGTTAAACAGGTTCATTCAGTTACAGTGCATACTGTTGAAGTTACTGATTAATGTTTTTTGTTAGTCATATGATTGCATGACTGTCACATTGTCATACCTGCTTTTAACAGTTTTATTGACTTGCAGGATTAGTGTTTGCACTAGGAACAACGGCTGTGTGTGTGTGTGTGTGTGTGTGTGTGTGTGTGTGTGTGTGTGTGTGTGTGTGTGTGTGTGTGTGTGTGTGTGTGTGTATCCCATACCTCTTTGGGTCAGGCTGCAGCCGGCCTTCCTTGTCTCTCTCCATGGAGGACCAGCAGTCATCTATGTTCACATAGACGTACCCAAGTTCCCTCCAGCCGTCCTCTGAGAGTCTGTCTGCCATGTCGATGAACAGATTCTCACTGGAGGAAAGACAGAAATGTCTCATTAGAAGGTGGAATAAATATTTCCATTAGCAAATACTTAAGGAATGCATTTCAATGATGTCACTGTCACTTGTTTAATATATTTGGCTTAAAATTGGTGACTACTGTCAGTGTAAAAAGGAGAGGTTCTTGAATTGATGAGCAAAGATATTATTGGCAAAAGAGAGCTCTTTCAAAATAAAAAGAAAAAGGGAGCAAGATAAAACAGACATCTAAAGGACTTTAAATGATACTGTTTCTATTAGAACATCTGTTGATCACTTACAAATGCACATTGTTTAATGTACATTGGTGAAGTCTGTTCACTGACTATTGTTTTAATTTCCACAAAACTGGTTTGGCTTTCAGAGCTCCACACCCAGCAACTGAAACAGGATGTTTCGCATGAACGTTAATCTACTAAAAGCCCACACAGTTCATTTACATATCTAAAGATCATATCTCACAGCATATAACTAGAAAAGCTAGATATTGATTATATTTACTTATTCCAGTTCTGCTATCACATAAAGGGCCAGTTCAGAATGGCTTTTTTGAATTTCATCATATGAAAAAGTTAGTGACACTGAAGTGTAGCAGCTTAATGCTTTAACTCACGGTGTTTTATATGTTAGTAATTCATAATCTTGATAATTAATATTTCCAACAGCAAAATTCAGCCCAAGACTATTATGTTTAATAGAAGCTCCAGTGAGATTACAGTGTGCAATGTTCATATTGTGTCGCCTTGCCTGATGCAGTTCTTGGGGTCATGGTCACAGTCAATATCACAGCGGAATCGTTCCCATGCCAACCAGCCCATGGGAGGGGTCCTCATTACTCCATTGTCCAGGGCTAAGGTGGTCACAGGGAGCACCGAGGCAAATACGAGCACGGCCAAATGCATTTCTGCAGAGGAAATAAACATCACGTTGAACCACATGTCATGTGCTGTCTGCTGAATGGCATCCAGGGTAAACACAAGGTTACAGCTGAAAGACAAAATCACCTGACCATTTCCTTTGTTTGTGCTTTTTCATTTCACAAAAGCCATCCTTTGCATACTGACATATTGTAAGTGACAAATGACAGGCATCTCTCACACATATACACCTTCTGAGTGTCACCTGACTGGATGTGACTGAGGCTGAAAGCAGCAACAACCAGCCAGGTGACTTCTCCCGTCACACTGATGAATAAGATAAAATATTAGCTCACTTTATCAAAACCCAGGACTTATTACAAAACACACATACCTGTGGAAATAACCATGCATACATCACCAAAAAGCATAATTTATCCTCTCTGTTTACTGTAAGACTCATGCATCTTAATACCTGGCACTAAACAGGTGTTTTTCTATTATAAACAGTATCCAGTAACCCCCTAAATAAATAAATGTATTCAATCTAAAAATGCAAATAAAATGGGTTTTAAATAAAACGGTATAACAGCCTGTGTTTGCTCGTATTCAAACAAGTCTCACTTACTTACTGTAATTCAGTGACTGAGAGTACCGAGTGCTGAGAAGCTGAGAAGACGAAGGAGGTTCAAGCCTCCTCAACTCCGAATCTCTGCTGGTCTCTTCAAATAATAACCATTATAAACTCCTGCACACACCGGTCGTAATGAACGAAACCGAGCCGCTCCTATGAAGCAGGAAGCGACAGTCACGTGACATGTATCACATCAGCTGACCGTAGAGCAGGAAGCTGGATGGAAAGACCCAAGGAGTGACTCGTTTTGGTTTTTTTTACTCACCTCACTTCCTTTCCTTCAGTCAGTCACTTCTCTATTTATGCCCTTGCAATAATTTTCTATTAGTGACGGAGAGCTTATGTTGGCATTTGTCGTCTTTAACAGAAACTTTGGCAGCACTTTTTTTTGAAAATGTACCATTTATACAGGTTTTATAAACTGCATAGCTTTATTAATGTTTAACAAATATTCACCAGTGATTTATAGATCATGTATAAGTCATTAGTAGCAATATTTTGGGTTGCCAGGTTGTTGAAAATCCTCCAACATGATACTTATACTTGTCTTTGTCTTTCTCTCAGACCCCTGAAATCGTCAAGTATGCATTCAGAAAAACTAGTATTGCAGTGGTTGTCATCCTTCCTTGAGCCTTTTGTGGAACATGTTGACATGCAGACTATCCTGCTTCCTCAGCAGCACCAATAGGAGACGTCTGAGTTGTAGCACTGACCTATAACTAATTTCAGCCTCCTTCAGCATCTCTCATTCTAATGTACAGAAACACTTGAGGTGTCCCAATCACCACTTTTGACTAGTGTGAAGTGCTTTCTTTTGGACCCTTTGACTTGCTCCATATTAATATTGCAAGTGCAGAATTTTGGAGAAGGGTCACAGAAATAAGTCCTTTGAGTGCCAGAAGAAAATTTGATGGATTATCAGATGAAGTTCAGACGTATTTCTGGAGTTTGCTACCTTTGTAGGACTGGCGGAGGTTCAGTTTGGCAGGTGCAGAGACATGCCACATGACCACACCTGTGGGGTTCACTCACACCACAAAGTCAGAGGAGTCTTTCAGCATCATGGTCTTGTTAGTGAAGACATCAGAGATCTGAGGAAGAGTAGACAGAAAACAGAAGGACGAAGTGGGTGACTCTCCTGCTATATTCATGTCTTTGATTCAAACGCAAAAGTGACCAGACATTTCATGTGTATTCAGTGGACCAACACTGTTGTGAAAGTGAAGCAACTGAGTGCAGCACACAGGTAACCTAACCCTACACAGGTAGCTGCCAGGGGTGTAATTGACTTTGCTGAGGGAAGTCTGGTAGCGGTAGGGCATGTCTTTAAGATGACTGAAGAGCACCAAGGCACCAGAACACATCAATGCCACTATTCTCCTGTCAGAAAGAAATGGTTTGGAAAATGTGAACAATAATAAAAGTTAACAGGATGGAAAGGGTTCAAAAGTCAAAATCTTCCTCAGTAAATTACAAATTCTTCACGATCCATGCATTCCTAATCCAAGGGGTCGGGCCCCTCCTAGAGGTCACAAGACAAATCTGAATGGTTGTGAGAAAGAGACAAGAGTACAGCAACAAAATAAACACATCCAGTAGGAGGCGCACTAGGACTAGAAAAAGTCCAGTCATTGTAGCTCCTGCAAATGGTTTAACCCAGCTGACATGACAACATGAATTCAGTTTTGATCTCATGAAAATAGAAAAACAAAAAAAACTCAATAGATAAACTTATGTTGTGATATGTGAGCTGCTAACTCTACAAAACCTGCAAAGATGATAACTTCTGTCCTCTCACTTGGTTTGAGATGAGCTGTGTGTGTATATATACATACATATGTACGTATATATATAACTTGACAGAATAGGTCAATCTTATAGGCTGTCCTGTCAGACCAATTCCCTGATACACTCTGATGTGGTCACTGGTTTGTTCTTCCCGCCCTGGGCTAAAAGTGACATCAAACAGGAAAAGGTGGAGCTTATGAGCTCGATGCCACAGGGAGCCATGACAGAAAGAAGCCAGGGTAAGATCACTTCAGAAATACACTGCAAAACAAAGCCAGAAGAAAAGCCAAGCTTTAGATTTTTAATACGCATGTGGGACTTTAATGCAGCTGCTTCCATATGATGGACAGAGGACTCAGAGTTATTTGTTGATCAGGATCTGAAACCTGCAGCCACTGAGCTGCTGTGGTGATATTTAAAATTAATCAGGCTACAGACAAAGCATAAATAGTCAGTTTTAGTGAGAGTCAGGTGCCCTGACACAGGTATATATGTATGTATATATATATATATATATAAAACCGTGACGGTCTGTTGAAATGTTTGTTGTTCTTTCTGTAGTTCAGACAGACTTCCTGGTTTTAAGTTTCAGCATGGTCCTGTTCAAGTGGTATCACATTCCTCTTAAAGTGATAGTAGCAGTTCAACACATGCAGAACAGTACATGCATACAAGTAATGGAGGAAGTATTCAGATTCTTTTCTTAAGTGAAAGTAGCATTACCAAAGTATAAGTAAAAATCATGCATTCCACATTAATCAAAGCACAGAGGTATCATGTAAATATACTTAAAGTACCCTTAATGACATCTTTTTGAAGTTTAATACTGTATATTTATAAACTGTTTATTATAATGCTTTAACATAAAAGCAGCAGTGTCCTAGAACTGGTGGAGATGCAGCTCATTTTAAGTACTTTATATACTGCTGGGTGGTTTGAGCCATAATTTAGTATCATATTTTATAAGTTGATCATGTGTTTGGTTTGATAAATCTTCATAGTTAAAATAACTATAGCTGTCAGATAAATGTAGTGGAGTAAAAAGTATGATATTTCTATGTGAAATGTAGAAGAGTAGAAATATAAAGAAGCACAAAATGGAAATATATATCCTAAAAATAATCATAATAATCAGTATAATAATTATTATTATTTATATAGCATCAAAATCTGTGATTACAAAGTGATGTACAAAGGGTAGGCATATGGAAATGAAATAATTAGAGTGAAAACATTGAAAGTTTTTGATAAAAATAGTTAGTTTCCCATAATGCAACTAAGTACCATCTTTTGGTAGACATCCCCTGAACATCTTTCAAACCCCATGTCATGGTATGTAATGCAGACTTTTTTGTTAATAATTGGTATTCCTGGGGTGCTTCAGTGGCTTAGGCCTTGGGATTTAAGGTGACGATCATGAACTGCAGCGTCCCTGACAGGCTCACCCCACTCTCTCTCTATTCATTTCCTGTAATCAACTTTCTAATAAAGAAAACAGTAGAACATACTCAACTTAAAGTCCCATGTCTTTACCCCTCCCAGGTGGTTTTGGTGTGGCGCCGACACTCCTAAAAAGTGCGGCAGCAGGTTTTGCTTTTGGAGAAGCTGCATTATTTGCAGTTGAGCCCACGCTGACTGAAGATGGCGTCCTGCTGAATGCTGCAACGCTGGCTGCTGGTCGAGCCAGTTCCACAGGTGTCGGGGTAGTAACGGCGTGCCTCGTGTTCACCTCAGCGCTCCTTTCTCTGGGAAGTGGTTTCCTCCTCGCTGCCGTGGTGATGAAGCTGTTGACCAAGGTTGGAGTGAGGTTGCCGTGGTTAGCGGAGGCCACAACAGGGGCCTCTGTCGTCGTGGGTGCTGTCACTACTGGAGTGTTGGTGGGCGTCCTTCCACCGTGGATCTACATCACAGCCCAAGCTGTTCTTGTCCTTGTAGTCTACTCATACTCTAATATTAACGACATGACCACAGCTCTGGTAATCATCTTCACCACTCTGTACACCAGCGTTGTATACGGAAGGATGGGTGTCCTAATTGGAATCTTTATCATGGGATTGACCATCAGTGTCCTTTGTGCCCTACGCAAGGCCCTGACAGAGAGGATGACACAAAGACCAAAATCTAAAACTGGGTGCAGACTGTTGGAGAGGATATTCTTCTACTCTGTTGTCGTGGGGATACTGGGATTTTCAGTCGGTTTAGTGGCAGGTGAGGCAGGAGAAGGGTCGGAGGTGGTTTTGATGCTGCAGTCAGTCCTTTGGGTGGCATTTCTGTCTGCAGGGCTGTTAGGAGCTGGCCTGGGAACAGTGGCCATGGTTGGGCTGGGGCCAGAGATGGCTGCAAAGGTCGCTGTGGGAGCTGCTATAATATCATCAGTGTCCTTGAGAGCTATTCTGCAATGGAGCTCTTCCCTGGGGGCCCGCAGCAGCATTGGGGGAACGTTGGGAGCAGCTACAGCGGCAGGGGTGTCACTGGGAGCTGCAAGTGTTGCAGCAAAACAAGCATTCGGGTCTAGAAATTCAACTTTAACAGTTTTAGGTTCAGTTGCTGTCGGTGTCGTTCTGGCCACACGAGGTGTAGCACTGACTGCAACTCTGCCAACAACATCAGAACTTATAACCATCACTCTTGCTGCAGTAGGGGCATTTGTTTTGGGTGCACCAAAGAGCCCGTTCCACACTCAGGTGAATCTACAAAGGGGCCTTCTCACGGGGCCAGAGCTAATTAAAGGAATCGGCATGGAGACAGTCACCGCAGCAGCAGCACCTATTGGAGCCGGGGCGCTCGGGGCTGCGGCGTTAGCCACTGCAGCTCTGGGGAGACTGGGGACTGTGGGAGTTGTGGTGGCTATATTGTTGGCTTTGGGAAGTACTCTGAGTGGCATGATAGGAAAATCACCACCAACAACAAGGGCACACAGAGACTGACTGATGACTGAGTTATCTCTCCTGCTGGTCACAACCTGAACACAAGGCACAAAAACCAGCAACAAAAAACTAAATTAAAAATGATGTCAACGCTCTAGTATTATTGATGCCATTCTTGTCTCAAAGGTGATGTTTATGTATGTCATTTTTTAAGAAGCTATACGATTGTTGCCTTATGTAAGGGTATCTCTAACGCTTGCATGTCTCAGGAATGTAATAGTGTTAGTGTTGTCCCCCACTTGTAAGTCACCTCGGTTCAAAGTGTCTGCCAAATGAGTAAATGTAAATATAATAAAAGGTTTCCAGATTTTCTGCACATTTTGTCTGTTTCTCAGTATGTAAGTCATCTTATCTAATAATATGCATGGTGTCATTTAGTTTACTTCCAATAAAGAGCCATTTGGTGTGCAAGATTCACATGTCAAAAAGTGTGTATTCTCTTTTCCTTAGTTTGAAGTTTGAAGGGTACAAGAAGTAACTGCAAGAAAAAATCATGCCTTTACTGTAGAGCCAAACATGTTGAGAGCTAAATGAGACAATTTGTGTGCATATGCATGTGTATGTATGTGTGTAGAGAGATGTGCAGGTCTAGACTGACATGGAAGCAATATTGCAATTTAAATTAGTTTAAATTTAGTCTATTATGTGATTCAGATTTACTGATTTCTCTTACATAAAAATCAAACCTGTCCTAAACATATATTATTGTGGCTACAAGTGTTGATTAAAACGTATGACAACTATTAACATGGTGTTATTTATTCACTGACATATTAATACCTTATTATTGTCAGAGAAACCATAGGACTGATTGCCATAAAATAAATAGTTAATTAGTTGACTTTTTGTAGAGTAGCTTTAATGATCCCTTTTCCTCACTTGCCACATTTCCCAAGACATGATCACAGCCTGGCAGTTACTTTGGTTTCATCTTAGCAACTGTAACAGAGGACTTGATGTTTAGAAAAGGGAGGGGGCTGTGTGTGGGAGGAGAAAGAAGCAAAGACTGACATCAGACAGAAGAGCATCTCTGAATAGGTGAAGTTGTGGAGAACTAACTAGTATTAAAATATGGATTTACACACCAAAATGTGGTGTCAGTCTGCCTGTAGACAGTCCTATAACCCTCTGTGAAGAGATGATATGTTGCATGCGAATGGATATCCACCTGAGGCTCAGGAGTTTGCTGGTCTGCCATGGCAGCAAACAGGGCTTAGGCTGCAAGAAGAGGCTGCAAGAAGTTTTTCTAATGAAACCGCCTGGGGACAAGAGGCTCTATTGATCTTATGTATTTTAAGGAGTTAAATATAATTACAAGAAGGAACATGGTAATAAACACTAAAGGTAAGAGACTTTTCATGGTGGACATATGGTAGAACTAAATGTGCTCTTCATCCTGGAATGAAAGGAATCATTTTCTGCACTGAAATGTTTTGACTCATATAGATGGAGCTGGATCATGTAATTATCTCCAAAAGTAGCACAAAGATGGGGCACGTGACAATTTTTCCATGTATTTTGGGATTCTGTGCACTTCAGGAATACTAACACAGTATTACATGAATCAAGAGGATTACTTTTATTAAATCAACATGTCTCTGAACCGAGTCCATACAACAGACACGGAGCAGTCTGCAGAGTACTCTGTGGAGTACTCACTGCAGGCTCCCAGTGACCCGGGTCGGACGCGGGAGGTGACCGTGCTCCGGTCGAGCTGCTGCCGCTGCCTGCCGCGCGCAGTGCGCCTCACCTTCACGCCCGAGTCACTGGAGAGACTTTACCAGAGCTACTTCCGCCGCCAGAGACAAGAGAACCTGCTGGTGCTGGCGATGTTTGCCGCGCTTTTCAACAGCTTCATCATCATCATGTGTGCGGTGGTGTACACTGAGGACAAACTGGCGATGGTGGTGGTCGCAGCTGTGGGACTGGCCGCGGACATTGTCCTCTACCTGCTGTGCTGGTTGCAGAAGCTTCCTGCTTCACCTGTGTTACGCGGAGCGGTACCGTACGTACTGTGGCTGATGATCACAATCCACGTTTTATGTTACATGGGGCTGAACAACGAGCGTTTCCCTCATGCCAGTGACTCAGTGGGATGGCAGGCCTTCTTCAGTTTCTCCAGCTTCCTGACACTGCCACTGAACCTGGTGCCTCTCCTGCTGCTCACTGCCCTCTCCTCTGGGATACACACCCTGGTTTTGGGGGTGATTGTTGCTCAAAGGTTTGATGCCAACCTGCAAGGGCCCATGCTGGTGAGACAGGTAAATATGGCATCTCAGAAAAGTGTCAAAAGCACAATGTTATATTTTAACAGGGTTTTAGAAGCCAAAGAGCTTAGAAACCACTGTTTTAAGGAATAACACAACTACATGTGTTGGCTAAGCCCCCATGACCTCACTGTATCTTTGATACAAATTTTCTTTAAACAAATACTGTAATAATTTTGTAGCTACATTTTACTTATTTCAAATGTCTTGTCTTCATTTTGTGGCACTAGATTCAGTAGGTCATATAACCCTTGATGCCCCAAGGTAAAATGTGAAAAGCACAAAAAATCTGAAAAATTTGATATGAAAAAAATAGTTTTTACTTGCAATGTAGTTGAAGGCCAAGGTTGCAATTGCTTATGTGTTGCATTTGTTTTACTTTGTTTCTTTTACATTATATCTCTCACTCCTATGGAAAACATGGATTGTATGTGAATTCATTTTAATACCTTTATTTTGAAAGGACATTCCAATCATTACTGAGCCTGTCTTGGTTTTCTTTCTGGAAAATGCGGCATCTGGGTCAGAAACAATGTCTTTTTTTCCACTAAAGAGTTCTGTAAATCTGTTTCTGAAGATATTCAGGCGGTTAATACACAAACAGCTTCTTCATTCAGCTCCAACCTACAAAGTCTCTGCTGAAAAGTTTCAATAGATTACGAATCTGTTTCCACACAGCATCATAGTCAGTGGTTACAAAGTGACAGTAAAACCTCAAATGACCAGATACACACACAAACACACATCCTTTCTTCCTCCCCAGCTTTTGGCCAACAACATGCTGTACCTGTGTGCGGCCATAGTGGGTGTGATGTCCTACTACATGGCGGACAGGAAGTACAGAACAGCTTTTCTGGAAGCGCGCCAGTCACTAGAGGTCAAACTCACCCTGGAGGAGCAGAGTACTCAGCAGGTAAGTGGGGCACGCACACACACACACACACACACACACACATGCACACACACACACACACACACACACACACACACACACACGCACACGCACACACACAGTCACACATTAATCTTTTGCTTAATGAGATAATACATTTTTCGTATTTTGGGCACACACACACATACAGTATGCACAAACACACAAGTACAGCTGTGAGGCAGAACACCCTGTGCTGCCTAATTATGGAGTGTTTTGCTCAGCGCGGGACTAATAGGTTGATTAGAGAGACGGTTGTTTTCACCAGCAGAGACACCGTCAGGGACCTGACACAATGCAGTCATCTTAACTTCTGTAACAACCAATACAACATTCACCAAATCTGTGTGGAGATAGAATATGATATTTTAAAGCATTTTAAAAGATACAGTTTTTACTTATTTATTGTATATTTAATCCTCCCTTTAATACTTTTAACTTCCTTTTGTGTTAGATTATCCTCATTCTACTAACAGGTTACTGTTTCATCTCCTTTTGTATTGTGGTGTCTTGTCTATTTGTTCCTTCCTTTTACAGCTGCCCTGCTCTTTCACTATGTGTTGTTTATAGTCCATCTGTTTATAAGCTAATTAACTTAATTGACTATAGGCTACCATTTTGTGTCTCTCAAATAAGGAGTTGAAGGAGTGACGGTACAATTTGGGCTTTATTCATGTATAAATCTTGTATATTAGTGCAACCCCATTGTAAATGAACTGGCAATGATACAGTTTTCCTTTCACAGTCAGTTTATGATATTATGTATTTCTTCTCATGCCACAGGAGAGTCAAAGATAATGTATTGTATATTATACTGTTGTGTATTTCCTCCACGCTCGCTTCGTCCTTTCCATGATCCTCACTGTGACAATTAAAAGGGAGCAGACCTGTGAGAGTTGTTTATGCAGGGGTGGAAAAGGCGGTGAAGTGGTGATATGTAGACGAGGACGGTGAGACAGAAGGAGATAGAGAAAGAAAGTGGAGGTAGAATTCCCAAACTGCCTTTTCATTGGGGGTCCTAGACAGATAGAAGACAAATAGAACCAGCCAACCACAACACATCTGGCCAATTGACAGGACCTCTTGAGGATGCCTTTACTGCTTCAGTCATGCTATGCAGCCACCTGGGACAGTTTATTCTTCCTATCACTACTGAACATGGCAAAACTCACACTTCCCTTGACTGTCTCTCCATGTAGGAGGAATTATTACTGTCTATCCTGCCCAAACACATCGCTGATGAGATGCTGCAGGGCATGAAGAACGAGGCCAATCAGAAAGAAGTCCAGCAGCAGCAGTTCAACACTATGTACATGTACCGCCATGAAAACGTCAGGTCAGCTTCACAAAATCACCCTATTTTCTTTTCTTTTTTTTTTTTTTTGATGACAGGATGACCGCTTTTGTAACTTGTTGGGTGTTACATTGCAACATTTACACTTTCACTGCAGTATCCTGTTTGCTGACATTGTGGGCTTCACCCAGCTGTCCTCAGCCTGTAGTGCCCAGGAGCTCGTGAAGCTGCTCAATGAACTGTTTGCACGTTTTGATAAACTGGCAGCAGTGAGTATCTGTTTGCATGTTGCTGCATTTTCTTCTGTGCTTCTCTGTCCTCCCCTCGTGAAACAACTTAGATTCTGAGTCAGATTTGATGAAAGCAATCCGGGGCCATATTACAGAAACTTCGTATCTTAAGTTTCAAGTTAAGATAGGAAGCATATCCGACAGGAGTTTTCCCAGTTTGGTATTACAGAAGCAAATGTGAATTAACTTTAGGAATCCTATCATTTCTTTCTTCATCTAATTTCATCTCAGGTTAGGATCAATTGTTTGTTACCTAGCAACCGACGCTATTTTTCACATCTCAGCTCGCTGAGGTATTGTTTAGATTTCCCATTTAAAATGGAATAAAACACTGATGTAACTTAAACCTAAAGACAGATGAGTTAGAAGTGTGGGCAACGTCAATCCGTAGAAACAATGCTAACTCAGAGATAAAAGAGAGAGAGTGGGCTAAGACAGACTGTATCTACTAATAGGCACTTTGTCATCAAACCGTGACACATCATTAGAGCCTGTCAGAAGCCTCTCAGTTACTAAGCTCCGCATGTTGACATTTCATTGGTTGTGTAAAAGCAATAAAAGAGGAGCAGTATGGATTAAACAAGTTAGCTAAGTGGTGGAAAAGTAGGGATAAAAATAGGGATAAGCGTGACAGTTATCCTAAAGTTAGGAGGGTTTATTCAAGATTTTGGGAAGTTGGGAAGCTTGTGTAGACTAATATACTTTTCCTATCTTAAGTTAGCATAGGAGCATTGATGTAGGAACTATTCTTTTGAATCGCTTTCTTCCTCTATCAGGTTCTAATCCTAATTACCATGGTTACCAAACAGCTAAAATAGGGTCTGCAAGTTAGGAAGTTTCTGTAATACGGCCCCAGGACTATATCTGTGGCGGGAGCACTGTTCATGTTATATATGACTGATGTGTCCTCTTTTTTTTTTGTTTTGATGTTGTGTTGTTCTAGTATCGTATTGGTGGTAATTTGTAATTTGAATCTGCATGTTTGGCCTTATTCTACAGCAACATCACCAACTGAGGATTAAGATTCTTGGCGACTGTTACTATTGTATCTGTGGTCTTCCTGACTTCAGAGAGGACCACGCAGCCTGCTCCATAATGATGGGCCTTGCCATGGTGGAAGCCATCTCGTAAGTAGTGACTTTAAAAAACACAAACCGCTGACAATATTTATTTGCATAACAACAGGAATTCATAATTACTGCAAGAGGAAGATGTGGTTACACAAGAAAATTATGGAGGAATAAAGTTATACATTTGGAATAAGAAGAGGACACAGGGATTCTATAGGAAAGACAGACCTTTACAAATTTAGAAAGTGAAGAAAAATGTGGAGTTAGCCACATTGATCTTCTGCTTTCCCTCCTGTTCCAGGTATGTGCGAGACAAGACAAAAACTGACGTGGACATGCGCGTGGGCGTCCACACGGGCACGGTGCTGGGAGGAGTGCTCGGCCAGAAGAGGTGGCAGTTTGACGTTTGGTCCACAGACGTCACTGTAGCCAATAAGATGGAGTCTGGAGGGATTCCTGGGTAAGAGAGCAACACTCTCGCGGCAAGCGGCCACATTCTTGTCTGTATTTTATTTTAAACGGCGTCTGTGCTACGCAGGAGAGTGCATATTTCCCAGACCACCAAGGACAGTCTGCACGGAGAATTTGAACTGGAGCCGGGGAATGGCGGAGAGAGGTGCGAGTACCTGCTGGAGAAAGGCATCGACACTTACTTGGTTCTGGTGTCTGAGGTGGCGAATGGGCTCAGTGGAAACGTGAGTGGTTTCAGTACTCATTTTATTTTTTCAAAAATATTTACTGGTTTCTTTCAGGCCATGAGGTTAATAGTTCACAGATCTAAGGTCTGTTTTTCCTGCTTCTCCTCCGTTAGAAACCCAGCACACTGACTAACAGAAATTCAAACAACTTGATCAACACTACAGCAACCAATGGGAATGTGGCCTCACCCCAGTCCACGCCCACTGAGTCTAAACAGGAGGTGAACTATGATAAATGTCTATATCATCATCATGTTGAAAGTAAACGTCTGCATCACAGACACAGGTTCATAAGAGCGTACTGATACCCATGTATATAAATGCACAGAGGTTCTTTGAGTGCACATGAAAATCTTTCCCTTGTCTGATCTCTGCTTTCCTTATTCTCAGAGGAATAAAATGGTTGAGGAGCAAGTGATCAACAGGCGACTGCAGCAGGAGCTGCTGGAGAGAGAAACTCAGCAAATGTAAGAAGATAGGAGAAATAAAAAAGGAATAAGAGGAGCGGCATTAGGGGGACGTTAAAGTTAACATGACAAAAAACTGGACACAAATTTACTCAGCTGTACCTCCTGTGTTTCTCACAGAATGAAGGATCATCAGATCAACCCTGTGTCGTTGTGTTTTGTGGATGGAAAGTTGGAGGAGCATTACTCCTCCGAGAAGGAGAGGCGAAGTGGAGCGGCCTTCTGCTGCTGCATGATAGTGCTCTTTTTCATCACAGCAATGCAGGTGTTCATAGACCCACTGTGAGTTTGAATGTATGACTTTTAATCAGTGAAATGAATGCACTCATAATATGGAATCTTAATGCACACAGACTTCTCCCCATTGCCATCTGTAAACTCACATATGAAGCTATTGTGTCTTTGACCATGTTCGAAACCAGACTAACTATCAGTTGGCATATTCTTTGTCATATGTTTTGCTGGTGATTGTTTATTTGTTAGAAGTTGACTGAAAATATGTGTTCTTGTTCTAGGTTGGGTGTGAACTATGTGACTCTGGCAATAGGAGAGGTTTTGTTGCTAATCCTCACAGTGTGCTCTCTGGCTGCCATCTTTCCCAGGGTGAGAGATCAAAAAAAAAAGTGTTCATGGTTGTCGTGATGGGGAGCAGAATTTATTGTGTAATGTCTCAGATTTGCTAATTGCACAAACCCTTTTCAATGCAGGTGCATACACACTCTGACAATGCAGTTACTCTCAGTACTGACTAGATTTGTGAAGACTGATGTCAACTTATAGTTACATACAGTATTTAGAGGATCTGTGTGAGAATGTAAACTCATTTGATTTGTCACATGGGCGTTTGTGACCTGCTGAGTGCACAACGCTTGATGATGATGACATTGATTTTTGTTTGTCACAGATGTTCTCCAAGAGGTTGGTGTCTTTCTCAATTTGGATCGATCGCACGCGCTGGGCAAGAAACACATGGGCCATGGCAGCAATATTTGTTCTTACCATGGCTGTGATCGCTGACATGGTACTTTTAAAAGATGTTACCAAATTCTGATACACTGTGTGTGTGTGCGTGTGTGTATGCGTGTGCGTGGGCCTGTGTGTGCGTGTGTGTGTGTGTTTTAGGAATGGGCGGTATAACAAATTCTTGCTCATGGTGCATGTAAGTTTATAACCCAAAAGAAAAAAAATATATTGTGATACAGCATCTGTTCTGGAAATCCAATTGAGAAATAATTTATTCTCAAAATAACTAGATGGAAATATATGTTTTTTTCTAATGCAGTGATATAAATATCTGAAAAATCGAAGTACATTCATGCAAAAATCTCTTACATCAAATGTAGCCATCACTGTATACTGTTAATTATCAAATTACCCGACCCTAGTGTGTGTCTTGCCATTTTGTGTGTTTCCACTTTGTCCTCATCAAATTATCAGTGACTTTTATGTGTCTGACTACATGTTCCCAGTGGGGTCCATTAGTTGTCTGTTTCGCTGCCTGCTGGCTCATTTGTCACGGCCCCACAGGAGAAGCCTGTTACACACACTGCTGCCTTCAAGGTCTGACAGAAACACAGGACGCCAAAGTGTCTGTCCTTGCTGTCATGTTATGACAGTCACACTTTGAAAACAAAAATGCCTAAAAAAAAAAGAAAAGAATTGACGCTGGTTTACTATTCCAATGTTGCTATCATAGCAGTTTTCCCAACATATAGTTTATATATTTAGAGTAGTGAAATAACCCTCATCACACAGTTTCATATGTTAAATCTACAGATTATATTTTAAATGTCACTTTGCCAGTTTCATGTTTACACACACTGAATTTAAGAAATGTATTGACGAATGAACTATAAATTTTAATTTTCATGGCACAGTGTCCACTTGAATGGAATGGGTTAAAACATCACCTCTGTATCTTTCGGTCAATAAATCCTATTTTCCTAACTTGCTACAAATGTCAGAAATGATGTCCGACCTAGTGAAACCAAGCCACATTACCAGTTGTCCACTGAAAACGTCTCACTCCTTTTATTTTTGCATGTTGCAGCTAAGTTGTGCTCCACCATCCCTCCGGGTCTTTAACAGCACCTCTGGCCCTGTCTTGGAGTCATTTGGTGACCAAGGCTGTGTCGAAAACCCAAAGCACTACAGCTTCATGGCTGTGATGTCACTCATCGCAGCCGCCATGTTGGTACAGGTCAGCCATCTGATTAAACTGGGCCTCATGGTGCTGGTTGTGACAGCAACTGGAGCTGTTAACATCTACAGCTGGCGGGACATTTATGACCTGTATGACTATATACAGTTCGCCTCCTACAGGTGAGAAATGGGTAAAACAGATCAATGAATAGTGATTTTTTTTACTTTTATTGAAAATATATATAAATAAATTGTGATAAGCTGTTAGATGTTGATCCTACTAGGTTTGGGTGTTTATAAAATACAATATAAGGTCAGTGTAACTATGAGCACAAAGACCTTTATGTATCACTGTCTTTGTGTTTCTAGAACATCTACAGTTCCATCAAAGTACCTCATGACCATTATGATTATCATCATGATGATCGGCTTCTACTTCTTCGGACGCCATGTGAGTCACTTTCCCCTGTACACCCACACAGTGTCACCCTTAGCTGACCCACAGCTTCTACACCTTCGCAAGAAAGATTCCTCCCAACAGGACAAAGCGACTCTCAAAATTTGTAATGGCACATATTTCTCTTCACTGTCTCGCTAACTTACTTGAATATTTTCTGCACTGTGTGTGTGTGTGTGTGTGTGTGTGTGTGTGTGTGTGTGTGTGTGTGTGCGTGTGTGTGTGCAGCTGGAGTGTCAGTCCAGGAAGCTGTTCCTGTGGAAGATTGGCGTCCATGACCAGAAGGAGAGAGTGTTTGAGATGAGACGCTGGAACGAAGCTCTGGTCACCAACATGCTGCCTGAACATGTGGCCAAACACTTTCTGGGCTCTAAGAAGAGAGATGAGGTACATACGAGTGTGTCCTAAGTTACGGTATCATTTACATCTGGGGGCAGTGAGTATAGAAAAAGAAAATGATATGAGTGAGGAATGTCAAGAAGGAGGAGGAGGAATGTCAAACAGCATGATGCCGTTTAAAAGTCATTCCAACTTCACCAGGGGCAACAGAACTAACTCATCAAAAGCAACTTAAGCAACAACATACACTAAATTTCACCACATATGTAATGATGGTACTATATGTGACACCTGCGCCTCATTGCAATACAATTCATTACATATCAGTGCCATCTTGTGGTTTATATCATAATTACATATTATCTCTGATATATTCTAATAATCAGTGATGATGAGCTTCATGAATAAAAAAAATAGCTACATAAAATCAGAGAAAACTAACATCTTCATTCATTATTCATAGGAGCTGTACAGCCAGTCCTACGATGAAATAGGTGTGATGTTCGCTTCCATCCCCAACTTTTCTGACTTCTACACTGAAGAGAGCATCAACAACGGAGGGCTTGAGTGTCTCAGGATTCTCAATGAGATAATCTCCGACTTTGACAGCGTGAGTTCTGCCAGTATCTCTACAGCTGGTTGCATATATTGACATTTAACAGCGCAAGGTGCGAACAAACTGTAGAGGTTTTGAAAAGTGATGTCCACTTTCTGCACCAGCTGCTCGACAGGGACGAGTTCCGCTGCATCACTAAGATCAAGACGATAGGAAGCACCTACATGGCTGCATCAGGACTCACCCCAGAGAGCAACACCAATGGATACAGCAACCTCAAGGTGTGACACTTCTAAGTTACAAATAAACCTTGTTGCGAGTATAACAGTCTGCTGCTACACAGTTTCATCTCCACTCGTGCTGTAAATGGTGATGATGGTCATCATGAGAGATACATTCTGTCGTTCCACAGCCAGAGGACCAGTCACAGATTGAGCGCTGGCAGCACATCTCTGCCCTGGCGGACTTTGCCTTGGCAATGAAAGTCACCCTCAACAACCTCAACAAACAGTCCTTCAACAACTTCATGCTCCGAATCGGTCAGTTTTTGTGTGTGTGCGTGCGTATGTGTGTGTGTGTGTGTGTGTGTGTGTGTGTCTGTGTGCACAGTTGCAAATGTGGATGTTCATATTTCCATGCTGATCCCCTTCAGGTCTGAATAAGGGAGGAGTTCTGGCTGGAGTGATTGGAGCTCGTAAACCTCACTATGACATCTGGGGCAACACAGTCAATGTCGCCAGCAGAATGGAGTCCACTGGAGTGATGGGAAACATCCAGGTCATGCGCGCGCGCACACACACACACACACACACACACACACAAAAGCAGACATGCAACATACTTGAATGTCTCCTATTATTGCTCCCTGTTTCTTATTTTATGCTTATTTCTAAACTTTCTTTTTCTGCCCTCAGGTGGTGGAGGACTGCTATGACATCCTTAAGCAGTATGGCTTCCGTTTTATCCGAAGAGGGCCCATATTTGTCAAAGGGAAAGGGGAGCTGCTAACTTTCTTCATGAAGGGCAAAGACAAACCCAGTAGCAATGGCGGTCCAGTGACCACTGCCCTTCCACACCAAGTTGGGGACCTTTCTTGACTATTTTCATCTGAGGAAACATCGTTCACACAAAGATAACCCTGGGCAGAACATCCATTTTGCTTAATTTCTCGCATATACACAGTTTATTTACCTAGACCTTTTTCCTACACACTGTAGCAACATAAAGCATAGACCAACACAGCAAAATTCAATACTATTATGAGCATTACAACTGTGAAATACCATTTCACCCACAAGGTAATTTGAGAACAGATTTCTGTATAGTTGTACATAATTCAGGAATACAGTTAAATATCTCACAGAGCTCCTGCATTAAAGATTTTATCACTTTGCACTTGATTTATAGAGTGCTATGAGAATTACAAGCTGGGAACAGACATATAAATTACTCTCTTCTGTTGTTTTACCTCAAGCTCAGGTTTTGTAAAATAATGTAGGTTGATGACACTATTTATACTGTGTTAATAATAAAAATGTTTGCACTAAGTTTTTAATTTTTTTTTGCCATATGGCGTGGATGATAATGTTAGCTGGTGGGTCTGCTGGTCTAAAGACAGTGCTCGAATTGAGCAAGCCACAGCATAGGCCTATACATGCAGCTTTTATGTGGAGGTGTCTGGTTTGACACTGCAAATCCACACAGATGTTACAAATTATTCTGACTGACAAGAAAGAGAAAATTAAAATTTATGTTTTAAATGATGACACCAGCCTCACATGTTAGGTTTGTAATTGCATTATGTTATGTTGGAAAAATAGAAATTAATATCTATGTCAAACAATATTAGATGCGGTCATTAATTATTCATTCATTCAGGATGATTGGTAATTAGAACTAATTAGTGTGATCCAATTATAAATGGTGTAATTATAAATACAATGGAAGTTTCTCTGGCTACTTGTTGCTTGTTTATTCATTCACTCATTGATTAATTCATCCATTTACACATAGGCCCTGCTACCAAAACTCAAAACTACTGAAACTGTGACACGTAATGGAACATAAACAGCAATTTGATTAGTTACACCAGTGCGCTTCCTGCAATGATAAGTCAAAATGTCTTACGTAAAAAAAGTAGGAGTTTCCTTCTATATTCATAATTGGCCAAATAAAATGTATCAAATTAATTTAATAATATGAATAATAATAAGGGTCGTTTAAAAAAGTGAGTGGAATGAATTTGTAGTTTAGGTGGTAGGTAGATCTCTGAGTTTTACTTACATACTGTTTAGGCCTATTCTCTGACATAAGTAATTTGGGGCTACATGATTTATTGAGAGGTGAATGGTTTAGTGTTAAAATGTAAAAGCTGGAAGCCTGTGGAAAGACAATATGTGATTCACACATTAAGCTGATGTAAAAATTAGCAACATATTAAAGTCATGTCTCGGGGAACATTCAAATGAATTTTAATGAGATGTTTTATTGTTGTCAAATAATTATTATGCTAACTAAGTTCTTATGCGCCACCCATGGATTTTAATTCTACCCGGAAGCCTGCTAGTGTAGGAATTTCCGGTTACGTCAGGGCGTTAGGACTCCATTAGAGCTGCAGCTGTTTTGGGAGAAACAACAACAAAAACGGGCTAACTGTCAGGGCTGCTGTAGTGACAGTCTGCTCTCAGCCCGACAACGAGGCCTCAAATCTGGAAGCTTAACCTTCATTTCCCACCCGGAGCTCCGCCGGCTTCTAACCACGGCCGCTCTCGGTGAGGAAACTCTGGCCTCCGCTTCCTCCTCCTCCGACTCGGACACCGGCGGAGCGTCGCCGCCCCCGCGGAAGAAGCACCGAGCCTCGGCGGCGGAGGGAGCAGGAGAGCCCGGGGCTTCAGCAGTTGTAACAGGCCTCCCTGGAGTTGTCCTAGGACTTGCTACGCACTCTCCACACTCTCAAGCCACCTCTGCCATCCACTTTAACCGAAGTGTTGTCAACAACCTCAGCAGCAGCATGCAGGCAAACGGGGCAGGACAGGGACAAGAATCCTCAGAGCTTTCCTGCCTAAACAGCGCACAAAACGGGGAGTCATCCTCGGCCGGCGGAACCCACTCCAATGGGCTTCTCTCCAGCACAGACAACGGGAATAGCGTCGGTACCAGTAACGGGTCGTCAACTGGGCCCGGTTCGGGGACTTTGGCTGCATCTACGACTTCGGGCACGGAGGTTGGTTCGTTGAAAAAGAAGAAACGACTATCGCAGGCCGAGGAAGATGTCATACGATTAATAGGGCAACATCTCCACGGACTGGGGCTTAAGTAAGTTTATTCAGTGTGTCAGTCGAGACAAAAACTACAAAAGCATGTAACGTTAGCGTTGAAAATGTGATGTGTATTTTATATTACTGGTGTTTGGTGTGAAGCTGCGAAATTGCAGCTGGTAAAAACGCTATTAGTGTGCTTGACAGACACAAACATGGGGGGATGGGGTAGCTAGCCTGTGAGCTCGGCAGTTGGTAGAAAGAAGGGGTCCATCTTGCACAATAACAGTTAGCTTGATAGCTAATAGCACTAGCCTGCGCTGAGGTGTTGTGTCCTGGCATTAAACCCTCACACAAACATAAAACACAGTCCAACATTTGGCTTCTTCAGAGGTCCATTGTGGGCAGAATTATATTTTAAATGTCAGTAATGCCATGATGCGTTAATTGTTGTTATAGATTTCGCATTGAATTAAAGGCATTACATCATCTGACGTTAGCAACGTTTATTCAGAAAAACAAGATCCTCCGACTGTTACCGTTGGAAAAGCATAAAATCAATGTCATGAGGGAGAAACTTGATTTAGCCTCTTAATTAAGTTCACAAGCAGGATTATCGAGTTTCCAGTGTTTATTTTTGCGTTTCAATGGCTGTTGCGCAAAAAATGCGGAGGAAATGTTAATGTGCGGTTTGTCAACGTCGGTTTTCGTCCTGATGGTTTGTGGTTTTCCTCGTTTTCCAGCTTGGATGCCTCGGGAAAATAATATGGTTTTTGCAAGACTGTGTGGGAGGAACATTAATGGGTCGGCCACACTGTAATAACGAGCATGGTTATGAAAACTGTCCTGGTTATTTTAGTATTCCGAGTGCACTCTATGCGCGTCTTGAGCTGTCATTTCGAGCAACTCTTTTATTGATCAGATTAATCACCATTTCATACAGCTTTCTTATGTACAAGATAACTTTATTCCTAGATAAATGTCATTTTTCTGTCACTGTGTCAGAGCAATGTGTCAACAGTCACAAACAGTGACGTGCATGTTTTTATTTAAAGACAGTAGTCAATACCGTGGGCGACAGTTGGTCCTAAATTGAACAGAATCAGTTGGTTTCATGGTGGCTGAGGAATGCGCTTTCTACCAGCTGTTTTAGACGGAAACGCAGTGTTTGAATCTAATTATAGCACAGTGGGATTTCAAGAAATGTGTGTCTAGCTCTCTTCTTCAAAGTGGCTGTGGTAGCCCCTGTTGGATAGATAGACATCTGCTGGTCTCTGCTATCCTGCTGAGAAAGTGTAGCTTCCATAATTAGGCATTATAAAGGACAACCTAACACAGCTATGTTTACAAAGAGGGTGGGTTAGGGGGATACATGACATTGCCTTCTATGAAACAGAGCCCCTACATTTCAGCAGGGGAAATGCAAGTGAAATCAGTGTAGCAGCCAGCTAGATGAGAGGCTCAACACAAAGCTGCTGCGCCACTCCATTGATACCTGAGAATGATGTCATCATGCTGAAGGTGTCAGCCACCCCCCACTCCCAACCCACTTACATTATCTCACTCTCACATACACACACTCATGTCTGAGCAGACTTGTTTGTGTGTTGGTAGAGTGTGTTTAGCAGAGGGGTAGTGTTTGGACAGATGGTTATGGTTCATGGTTGACAGGCTGAGAGGGTGATGTCAACTGCAGTGAAAGCTGGGTTCATGTTAGTGGACCTCCCACAGTCCACAAATAATGATCTGGTGACACTGCTGCTCCGGGCTGGCTTTCTCCAGATATTGTTGGCTGTGAAATTGCCTTCATCCCATTGTCAGCCAATGATGTTAATATTGTCCTTGTGCTAAAATTATTGTTGCAGATCTCCCACTCACCTTTTTGCCATTCCTAGAAAAACATGACACTATCTTACAAGTGTCATAAATGATTAGGTATTCAAGAAAAGTTGAATATTCTGCCTGGAAATGCTATTTAATATGATAATGTGCTAAACTTTCAACATCATTCTGATTGAGCGCACATTTCTGCGTAGTGACCAAGCTGTGATAGCTGAAATATCATCCTTTTGGCTTGATTGTTAAGTTCCATTTGTCATTTTTAAAGTCATCCTCTCCTTTCTCTTATCCTGTCTGTCTTGTGTCTGTATGTCTGCCTAACTTTGACTGCTTCTCTTCCTCTCTGTGTCTCTGCAGTCAGACAGTGGACCTGCTGATGCAGGAGTCAGGCTGCAGACTGGAACACCCCTCAGCTACCAAGTTCCGCAACCATGTCATGGAGGGGGAATGGGACAAGGTTGGTCTTGGGTTACCACAGTTACATAATAGCAAGCCCTCTGATAAACAGGGAAATAATGACCCCTATTGGGATCCATTGTCCATATTTTACCGTAACATGAAGAGCTCGTTTGGTCAAGAAATTAGAAGACATGTATCTTTTGCAGATCAAACTCATATGAGTGATCAACAAAAAAACATGATCTCTATTAGGCATTGTTGAAGCCAGTTAGTAAAAACATAAGAAAAGTACATAAAGTCAGGTCTGCATTTGGGCCACAGTTACACAAGTTCAGCCTTTTTATTTAGTATTAGAATGACACACAACCTGACAAGTTCCAGTGTGTCACTGTATTTGACATGAAGCTTTTTTACCAACAGATTTAATAGTTGAAATGCTATATGACTTTGGAACTGGCAACTTTAGTGCACAGCTTTGTGGAAACTATGACAGTCAAGCCCAGAATTAATGTATTTGTTGTCTAATTTGTTTTTGCCAGAATAATATTTTCTCTGTTTATAAGTGTTAATATTGTGAGCTCAGGAAAAAAAAAAATCTGACT